TCGTGGTCACCTCGTGGTCTCCACATGAGCCCAACGCGTGTTGTGGTCATGTCGTGGTCTCCACGTGAGCCCAACGCATGTCGTGGTCATGTCATGGTGTCCATGTGAGCCCAACGTGTGTCGTGGTCATGTCATGGTCTCCACATGAGTCCACGCGTGTTGTGGTCATGTCATGGTGTCCATGTGAGCCCAACGTGTGTCGTGGTCATGTCATGGTCTCCACATGAGTCCACGCGTGTTGTGGTCATGTCATGGTGTCCATGTGACCCCAACGCGTGTCGTGGTCATGCCGTGGTCACCACGTGAGCCCAACGCATGTCGTGGTCATGTCATGGTGTCCATGTGAGCCCAGCCCAATGCGTGTCATGGTCACCTCGTGGTCTCCATGTGAGCCCAACGCGTGTCGTGGTCATGTCATGGTCTCCACGTGAGCCCACGCGTGTCGTGGTCATGTCATGGTGTCCATGTGAGCCCAGCCCAATGCGTGTCATGGTCACCTCGTGGTCTCCATGTGAGCCCAACGCGTGTCGTGGTCATGCCGTGGTCTCCATGGGAGCCAACGCGTGTCACACACACGCCACGGTCTCCATGGATGGGTCATGCCCATGGTCCACGCATGTCCTGGCCACGCCGCAGACCCCGTGTCCCACGTGTGGGCTGTGCCCGTGGCCTCACACGTGTCCTACAAGCGGTTGCGGCCACGTCCCATACGTGGACCATGATCTTCTACCACGTATGTCCTGGACATCCTGTCCTGTGGTCTCCATGGCCACGCCGTGGTCTCCTCATGTCCCGTAGGAGCCGTGGCCACCTCCCCATCCCCACATCAGGCTGCCCATGTCCCACCTGTCCCCACCGTGCCATGACCACGCCATGACCACATGTAGGGCACGGTGGCCACGTGGTCTTCGCCACGTGTCCCACGCGTGGCCTCCCCACCGCAGGGTCACCACCATCCACCTGGGCAAGCACAGCCTCTACATGCGGGAGTGGGGGGAGGCGCAGAAGATGGTGCAGAAGTTCATGCCCCACCCCGGCTACGACCCCACCACCAAGGACAATGACATCATGATGATGAAGCTCCTGACACCCGTCGTCCTCACTGACAGGATCCAGCCCATCCCCGTGGCCTCCTGCCTCCCGGACCCTGGGACCACCTGCGTCACTTCAGGATGGGGAGCCACCACCTCCCCAGAAGGTACCTGGTACCCGTGGCCTCTTCTAGATCCCTGGGTCCTCTCCTGGAGGTCTGAGTCCCTTCCTGGAGGTCTTGGTCTCCTCCTGGAAGCCTGAGTGTCCTCCTGGAGGTCTGGGTCCTCCCCTGGAGGTCTCGGTCCTCTCCTGGAGGTCTTGGATCTTCTCCTGGAGGTCCTGGATCCTCTCCTGGAGGTCTGGGCACCCTCCTGGAGTTTTGGGTCCAATCATGGAGGTTTGGGTCCTCTCCTGGAGGTCTCAGTCGCCTCCTGGAAGCCCAGGTCCCATCCTGGAGGTGCTGGTCCCCTCATGGAGGTCTTGATCCTCTCCTGGAGGTCTGGGTCCCCTCCTGGAGGTTTCAGTCTACTCCTGGAGGTCTGGGTCCAGTCCTGGAGGTTTGGGTCTCATCCTGGAGGTTTCAGTCTCCTCCTGGAAGTCCAGGTCTCATCCTGAGCACCTACATCCTCTCCTGGTCATCTGGGTCCCCTCATGGACATCTGGGTCCTCTCCTGAACACCCAAGTCCCATCCTGGGCACCTACATCTTCTCCTAGACACTCAAGTCCCCTCCTGGACACCTGGTTCCTGTCCTGAACATCAAAGTCCCATCTTGGGCACCTACGTCCTCTCCTGAACATCAAAGTTCCATCTTGGGCACCTATGTCCTCTCCTGGAAATCTGGGTGGTCCTCTGGACACCTAAGTCCCCTCCTGGGCACCTGAGTCTTCTTCTGAACACCCAAGTCCCTTCCTGGGCATGTGTCTCATCTCCTGGACATCTCGGTCCCCTCATGGACATCTAGGTCCCCTGCTAGGCACTTGTGTCCTCTCCTGGACACCTGGTTCCCTTCATGGACACCTGGCTCCTCTCCTGGACATCTAGGTCCTCTCCTGGGCACCTACATCCTCTCCTGGACACCTGGCTCCTCTCCTGAACATCAAAGTCCCATCTTGGGCACCTATGTCCTCTCCTGGAAATCTGGGTGGTCCTCTGGACACCTGAGTCCTCTGCTGGACAACTGTGTCTTCTCCTGAACACTCAAGTCCTCTCCTGGACACCTGGGTTCCATCACGGACACCTGAGCCCTCTCCTGGACTCCTGAGTCTTCTCCTGGACACCCAAGACCCCATCCTGGGCACATGTGTCATCTCCTGGACATCTGGGTCCCCTCATGAACACTTGGGTCTTCTCCTGAACACCCAAGTTCCCTCCTGGGCACCTGTGTCCCCTCATGGACACCTGGGTCCCTTCACGGACACCTGAGTCCTTTCCTGGACACCAAAGTCCCTTCTTGGGCACCCATGTCCTCTCCTGGGCACCTCCATCCTCTCCTGGACACCTGGGTCCTCTCCTGGACACCTGAGTCTTCTCCTCAACACCTGAGTCTCATCTTGGGCACCTACACCCTCTCTTGGGCACCTGTGTCCTCTCCTGGACACTTGAGTCCTCTCCTGGACATCTGGGACTTCTCTGGAACACCCAAGTCCCATCCTGGGCACCTACATCCTCTTCTGGACACCTTGGTGGTCTCCTGGACATCTGGGTCTTCTCCTGGACTGTTGGGTCTTCTCCTGAACACCCAAGTCCCTTCCTGGACACCTGAGTCCTCTCCTGGAGATGTGGGTGGTCTCTTGGACATCCAGGTCTTCTCCTAAGAAATGGGAACAAAAAGGGGCAGCAGAGGAGGAAAAAGAGGCAAATAACCTGAAATTGGCTGAATTTCTCCCAAATCTGATGAAGAAAAGTTGGAAAAAATCCCCTAAAATCATCTCAAATCCCAGAAATGGCCGAAATGAGGAATAAACTCTCCGGGTTTCCACCAGATTTGAAGGAAATCGGGAGAAGTAGGGGATAAATCGAGGGCGAGAAGTTCCAAACACCCCCAAACCGCTCGTTTTTCTCCCCAAATCC